TTCCACATTCAGTTGGGTCACCTTTCTTTGGAATGGGAACAAATATAGATCTCTTCCAGTCAGTTGGCCAAGTGGTTGTTCTCCATATTTCTTGGCACAACTTGGTGAGCACATCCAGGGCAACATGCGGAAGGGAAGGTGGAAGTGGCGCACAGGGGGAAGTCACCTCAGACAGTAATGAAGTGGCATCTTTCAAAGGTACACAGAAAAAAACAGCGGGAAGAGGAAGAGATAGTATAATAAACTCCATAAAACCTTAATTAAAACTAAAAATTGTTAATGATAGTTTTAGATGTTTGGCAATATTTAGTTAGGTGTACCAGGATGCCTCTCGTGTCAGCTAATACTATAATGGAATCTACAGAGACCTAGAACTGAAGAATTAAAAGAGAAGAACTTGCTCAGCATTTCTCAACTGAAAGAAGTGAAAAACAAATTCAAACCTCAGGTTGCAGTATTTAGAGATGGCTATGGGTACAATCTTGAACTATCAAGGAAGCATCAAAAGAAGATGGAGGGAATACACAGAATCACTGTACTAAAAACATGGTAAACTCTGAAATATTTCAGAAAGTACTTGAGGCTCAATATCAAGAAGACAAAGATTCTCACCACTGGGCCAATTGGCAGCATCAGGATGGATAGTGAAGAGACTGAGATTGTTAACAGCTTTAGTTTGCTTGGCTCCACAATCAACACTCTTGGCACCAGCAGTCAGGAAATTAAGACTTATTGTGATGGGAAAGTCTGCTGTTAGGAACCTCTCCAAAGTACTGAAGAGCAATGGTGTCACTGTAGACTAAATCACATCTGATACAGACCATGGCCTTTTCAGTCACTTGCTATGCATCAGAGAACTGAACAATGACTAGGGAGGATAGAAGGAGAATTGATTCCTTTGAGCTGTGGTGTTGGAGAAGAGTATTGAATGTACCATGGACTGCCAAGAAAACAAACAGAAGAAGATTAAAACAGGTTTCTCCTTGGAGGCAAGGATTCTGAAGCTTCATCTGACATACTTTGGACCTGTTGCAAGGAGGAACCAGTCCTTGGAGAAGGACGTCATGCTTGGGAGGGTGGACGGACAGCACAGGAGAGGAAGACCCTCTATGAGGTGGATTGATTCAGTGACTGGGGTAATTGTGGTAGGTGTGTTTGAGACAGTGAGATTGGCACAGGATAGGGCAGGGTTTAGGGCTGTTGTACATAGGGTCACTATGAATCGCAGGTGACTTGATGGCACATAGCAACAACAACCACATGATCAAGAGCCAATGGTTATGAAGGAATAAATTCAAGCTGCACTGAAGACATTCGTATAAAATAAGGCCCCGTGAATTGACGGGATACCAATTGACATGTTTCAAATGACAGATGCAACCCTAGATGTGCTTAGCAGTCCATGCCAGCAAAGTTGGAGAACAGCTTTCTGGCCAACTGACTGGAAAATATTCATATTTGTTCCCCTTTCCAACAAAATTGATCCAACAGAATGTGAAAATTAGTGAACAATTTATTACTATCACATGCAAGAAAATACTACTGAAGTTTATTAAAAATGGATAAATTAGTACATAGAGAACTATCAAAATTTCCACCTGAATTTAGCAGACATTTTTGCACCAGTGATGTCTTTGCTGGTGTCATATCAGTCCTGGCTAAAAGTAAAGAATACCATATTTGTTTTACAGAGTATGAAAGGCATTAGACTGGGTGTACCATAAAAGTTATGGCCAACATTGAGAGAAATTGATATCCCAGAACACTTAATTGAGCTCATGCGAAACCTATATCTAGACCTAGAAGCTGTTGTCTATACAGCTCAAGGAACACTGATAGTCTAAAATAAAGAAAGATGTGGGTCAGGATTGTATTCCTTTTTTCTCAATGCCTATTCAATTTGTCTACTGAACAAATTATTTGAAATGTTGTCAACAACTTCATCTTACTTGGATCTGTAAACAGACACTTGGTACCAGCAGTCAGATCAGGAGACATACTGAAGTAGGAAATTCTGAAGTCAGGGAACTCTCCAAATTATTGAGGATCTATGATGTGAGTTTCTGGATGGAGTGTTTGGTTCAGACCATGGTCTTTTTAATCACTTGATATGCTGGGGAGAGCTAGACAACTAATAAAGATGACAGAATTGATACCTCTGAGTATCTGATTGTTGGAAAACAATAGTGAATATCCCATGGACTGCCAAAAGAACAAACATATATATGTAGAGAAAGTGAAGCCAGAGTGCTTCACGGAGGCAAGGGTGGTGAAGCTTTGTCTCACATACTTTGAGTGTATTGCTAGGAGACTCTATTCCTTTGAGAGTTACATCATGCTTGAAAATGTGAAGAATCACTGAAGAAGAGAAAGATCCTCAACCAAGTGGATTGATACAATAACTGTAGCAATGGGCTTGAATGTGTCAGAGATTGGGAAGATAACAGAGCATAGGACCAGGTTCAGATATGTGGTTTTAGGGTTGTTATAAGTTGTACTTGACTCAAAGGCACCTCACAACAACAACTGCCAGAAAGCAAGTAGCTCTTCTTGCCCTACAATCTTTTAGTCATTACACAGTTTAATAATATAATCACTTGGAAAACTTTATAGTATGCTGGCTTCTGTACCCTACTTTAGAGATTCTGATTTAATTGGTTACAAATGTAGGCCTAGACATGAAGCAGGAGGGTTGAAGGGTAGAAAACTCTCCTCAGAGGATTCAAATATGCAAACAAAGTTATCACATTTATAGACTGTGTGTGTCCACAGCTAAGTATTAAAGATCTATTGATGCTGTTATTATGAATGAGAACAGAGTCATAGCTGACCCTGAAGTGGGATTTCAGAGTCAGTTAATTGCATGAGAGATGACTACCCATCTTTCTCTTATGAATCAGCTGTTGCATTTCAACCATGTGCCTTTGGGTTGACAGCACAACTCCTACCACTAAGCCACCAGAGCTCTCAATTGAAGCTCTAGGTGAATTAAAATTGATTCAATTGGATTATCTCCTAATCAGTATCCTTCCTTCTATTCTGTCCCCACTTGAATGAAATACAGATTAATTAAGTATAACTGAGAAAGGGTAATACTACAAATATTCCTTTACTTTTAAAAAAATCACCTCAATAAATCACCACTTAGTTTCTGTGACTTAATAATCATTTTCATTAAAAACTTGAGAATTGTTGTCTTAGTATTTCTGCATACACTATAAATATATTTTTTCATGTAAAAAATTTTATTCTAATTTGAATGAGAATTTACAAAGCAAATCAGTTTTATATAATAATTTATGCATAATTAGTTCCATAAGATGGATTTTAACACCTTATAGTACCTGATAATCCTTTCATTCTCTATTTTTTTTCTGTTCACCCATCTAAATATGGACCTATCAAAATCTAATCAGTATTTCTTAATTAATATTCCACTCTCCTCCCTGGTAACCATACTAGAATTATTTTCCCTCTGTGGAAACGTATCTTTTAGTTTTCCATTATAGTAATCTTAGTGCAATATTTGTCTTTTTGTACTGACTTTTAAGGTATTCTACATATCAGAGGACAAAATCCTAAGTTGTTCCTAGAATTGAAAATTACTATTTGTTCTTTTCTTTCTTTTTTCACAGAAATTATTACATCAGCCTAAGTTTGTCCTTAAAAAGTGGAGCACTTGTTTTATTTTGTATATTTCTTTGTCTTACAAAGAAGAAGCATCAAGGAAAAGATACCAAATCAGAAAATGGAAAAAGAGTGAATGAAGAAAACTTAGAACCTTTAAACAATAATGGACATTTTGTATCTTCCACTGCAGGAGATGGTGAAACACATATTTAAGGAGAGAAAAATCTATGTTAATACAATAGAATACTATTTTTTTAAGCACAATTCCTTGTCCTTTACACTAAGAATTCTCACAATGAATTGTCTGTTTATGAATTAATAATGAAACATACTTTAAATGAAAAAGAGTAAGAGCCTTCCTTTTTAGCACATGGCTGTATATTTGTGATTACTATTAGAATAGGTGATCCGTACAAAATTTATTTAATAGAAGAAAAACATTTTTCTCAGGTAACTATAACATAAGACCAGTGGCTAGAAACTGGGTAGAGTGGGGAAAGGAGGAAAAAATAATAGCTTAAAATTAGGAGAAAACTCCTTATCTTTTATTAGGATCATGTTACTCAAATCTGAAATGTAACCTGATGGAAGATATATGCTATCATGGCAAATGACATTCATGTATTAATTAACACTTTCAACAAATGTTATTACTTTCTAATTTAAAACAGTGCTCAGCTAGTACACTTACTGTTTCCTTCTCCAAAATTTCATTAAAATCTCATTCACTCCCTGCAAGCAAATGGTAACTGACTCAGACTTGACCCTTCAGTGAGTTTTCAGGGGTTGCCATTTCCAGCAGGAGATTGTCCACCTTTCTTCTGGGGAACGTCTAGTGAATTTGAACTGCCAGAGAGGTACTGCCTTTGGGTTAGCAGCACAATTTCTTAAGTACTGTATCATTAACTACAGAGCTTTTAAATGGAGAGGAAGTTAAGACAATTAAGAAATTTTAAAATTAGGAAGATAGAATAAACTACACAGTAACCAAAAAGATAGTGACTAAATCATTCATCCAAAAGAGGAAGAAAATTATAAGGACTTGGTAAACACAAAAGCTCTAAGATAAAAAAAATAGCTGAAAGAGAAACTTTTAAGATTATTAATACTGTGTGGAAAAGCAACAACAAAAATCAACACTCCCACAAAGAAAAGCACAAAAGAATGGCAAGAATAACTTCATATCTACCAATAGTCACAATAAAGATAAGTGGTATAAATTCATCAGCCAAGAAAGAAAGAGTGGCAAAATGGACAAGAAAAATGTGTGTGTGTGTGTGTGTGTGTGTGTGTGTGTGTGTATGAATCCTGGAAGCAAACAAGAATGAAAATACAACATATTAAAACAAAACCTGTGGGACAAATAAAAAGCAGTACTCAGAAGACCATTTATAGCCATTGATACATGTAAGGAAAAAATTAAAGTCAATACCTTAACCCCAAAACTCCAACAATTAGAAAAAGAACAGGAAAAAATTAAAAACCTATAGTTTCCAGAAGAAAAAGAAAATAATAAAGATCAGAGTAGAAATAAAGAAAATAGAAAATGATAGAAAGGCTAAACAAGTCTAAAAGTCGATTCTTCAAAAATAATGACAAACTGCTGACTAACAAAGACAATTCATTGTCCAGCTGACCAATGAATAAGGTTGACAAAAGAAGAATTGATGGCTTTGAGCTGTGGTGTTAGAATTGAGTTGTTGCTGTTGTTGTTGTTATGTGCCGTCGAGTCGCTTGCGACTCATAGCGACCCTATGCACAACCGCCCTAAACCCTGCTCTATCCTGCGCCCACCGCACTGCCTCTGACACACCCATCCCGATTACCCCAGTCACCGAATCAATCCATCTCATAGAGGGTCTTCCCCTCCTGCGCTGCCCCTCCACCCTCCCAAGCATGATGTCCCTCTCCAAGGACCCGTCCCTCCTGGCAACATGTCCAAAGTATGTCAGATGAAGCCCCAGAATCCTTGCCTCCGAGGAGTAGCTTGGTTTAATCCTCTCCAAGATGAATCTGTTTGTTTTCCTGGCAGTCCAGTTGCAAACCACAACCCTTCTTCTTTGAAGAAATGAACATAAAGAGACAAACGCACACAGAAGACAAAACGGGACTGCAGCAAAGAAAAACACACACAGATGGGACAAGAAGCTGCAACAGTAGTGAATATATTCTGCCAACAGAACAAACAAATATGTCCCGGAGAAAGTGCATCTAGAGTTTTTCTTGGAGGTAAAGACGATAAAGGTTTGTCTCACATTCTTTGGATATACTGCTCAGAAAGGCTGTTCCTTGGAAAGAGACATCATGCTTGTCAAGATAAACAGTTGGCGAAATACAGGAAGACCCTCAACCAGACTGATTGACACAAGGACTACTGCAGTGGGCTCAAGTGTGTCAGGAAGTATGAGGATGGCATAGAATAGAACAAATTCAGATCTGTTGTCCATAGGCTCAACAGGGCTCATATTTGACTTAATGGGACCTATCAACAACAACATTTCAACTGACTTCCATTTTGGGCTCTACCACTACACTTATTACAATTACCCTCTTTGTTTAGTATTCATAGGGCTTTCAAAAGCCTTTTATTTAGGAAGTAGATGGCCCCTCCTGCTTCCTAGTCTGTCTTAATCCAGGAACTTCACCAAAACCCGTCCACGATGGGAAATCCTTTTGGAATCTGATACACCAGTGGGAAAGGTTTCAGTATCACAGCAATCCTAAGAAATCACAGTACAGTAAGCTGACAGACAAGTGCTGCACCACTTACAACAACATTCTCTCCAAACACAATCAATAGCAGGCCTGAAGGCCCAACCAACTTTTAAATACAAAGGACTGCCCACCAGATCCTGTTTGCCCATATAAGAGGCTCCCACCCAAGCTGATTGTAAACGAGATCAGATACAGTTAATCAGCTTACATTTGACTGCATTACACAATTAGACATGTCCAAACAATTTACACCTGGTTTTCAAGTAAATCACAAACACCCACCAGGATCCAACTTTGACAAGCTAAAGGCTCACTCACAGATAGGACTAGACAATGAGATACCAACTGACTTGTTTCAATTAACAGATGCAGCCTTAGATGCACTCACCAGTTTATGCCAGAACATTTGGAAGATGGCTGTCTGGCCAATGGATTTGCAGAGGTCCATATTTGTTCCTATTTCTAAGAAGGGTGATCCAACTGAATGTGGAAATTATTGAACAATATCATTGATATCAGATGCAAGCAAAATACTTCTGAAGATCATATTTTTAAAAAATGTCTGGAACAATACATAGATAGGGAATTTCTAGACGTTCAAGTGGGACCTAGAAGAGTCCATGGCACTGGGGTATCATTGCTGATGTCAGATGAATCCTGGCTGAAAGTAAGGAATATCAGAAGAATATCTGTTTGTGCTTTGACTATGCAAAGGCACTTGACTGTGTGGATAATGACAAGTTGTGGCTGATATTGAGAAAAATGAGAATCCCAGAGCACTTGATTGTGTTCGTGAGGAACCTATACCTGGATCAGGAGGCTATTGTGAGAATGGAGCAGGGAACACTGCATGGTTTGGAATTGGGAAGGATGTGTGTCAGGGTTGTATTCTATCTCCATACCTATTCTATATGCTATCTATCTATATGTTGAACAAATTATCCAAGAAGCTGGACTCTGTGAAGAGGAATGTGGCATCAGGATTGGAGGGAGACTCATCAATAACCTGCATTATGCAGATGACACAACCTTGCTTAATGAAAGTGAAGAGGACCCAAAGCAGTTTTTTGCATAAGATCAAAGAATGCAGCCTTCAGTATGGATTGTGTTCCAATATCAAGAAAACAAAGATTGTACCACTGAACCAATAGGCAGTGTCATGAAGGATGGGTAAGAGATTGAAACTGTCAAGAGCTTTGTCTTGCTTTGATGCACAATTAACACCCATGGGTATGAGCAGTCAGGAAATAAGGAGATGCATTGCACTGGGAAAATCTGCAAGTTAGGGACCTTTCCAAATTATTGAGGAGTAGTAATGTCAGGTTGAGGACTAAGGTGTGTCTGATTCAGTCCATAGTCTTTCCTATTATGAGCTATATATCTGACACTTAGATAATGAATAAGGATGACAGGAAAAGAATTTACATCTACAAGTTATGGTGTTGGAGAAGAGCGTTGAATATCCCATGGTCAGCCAAGAAAATGAAAAGATATGTCTTGGAGAGCATGCAGCTGGAGTGCCCTTTGGAGGCAAGAATTACGAGGCTTAACTTCTCTTACTTCGAACATATTGCTAGGAGGTGCTATTCCTTGGAGAAGGACATTATGTTTGAAGGGGTGGAGGGTCGGCTAAGGAGAGGAAGACCCTCAACCAGGTGGACTGACATGGTGAATGCTGTAATGGGCTCTTATGTGTCAGGAAGTGTGAGGATGGTGCAGGACAGGACGAGGTTCAGATCTTTTGTTCATAGGGTCACTATGAGTCATATTCGACTCCATGGCACCTAACAACAACCAAAAAAAAAGTAAAGAAGATGCAAATAACATGAATAAGACATTAAATGGGCTATGTAACAATATAATAAAAATAACAATAACATTGCTAAAATAAATTCTACTCCAAAACACTTGAAAATGTCGAACAAATAGATAAATTACTAGGAACAAAAAATCTACCCAAACTAACGCAGACAAAAGTAGATAATTTGAATAGACTTATTACAGAAGAAGAAATTGTTTCAATCATAAAACACTTCTTAACAACAACAGCCAAAATATATTGGCTCAGAAGAATTCACCGAAGAGTTTTACCAAACATTCAGAGAAGATCTGATGCTAACTAATTCAACTCATAGAACACAGAAAAGGAGCAAATACTTCTAAACTCAGAGTAACACTCTGATACCAAAGTCATGAGAAAAAGGATAAAAAGCAGTGTGGAGACAACCAAATCTAATCTCTACTAACTTCTTTAGGGGGACTATCCCAATTAATAACATCTACAGTACCAAATAGTTATTAATAGATTAGACATGGCCTCCAACAATCCTGCATCTCCTTCTATTAATCACTGGGTCCAAGGTTCATTGCAAATTGACTCACAGACTTGACTTTACTCACAGTTGTAGATATAGGTTGAGGACATAGGGGAGTCAAAGGATATTACACAATAAAAAGTCCAGGTTAACAGCAGTGGAAAATCCAGGTTAACAGCAGTC